CAGGAATGAGCATGAATGAAAACACTGGCTGTAACTCCCAGGGCTGATAACTTAAACCTCTCTCTATAGCAGGGTAAGCTGAAACAGTTCTTTCCCTTCACTTCCTCATCTGGAAATGTTCAGATAATCCAGCAATATCTAGTCTTATATCTGGAGTGAAACGTGTCAATGATTCACTGTCCACCTCATTTGTAACTACCTTTCTTTCAGAGCACTATCCTTCTTGGCATTGCTTTGGCCCAACCTCTTCATGCCTGCAGTTCCCAGTATCCTTTTCAAAACAGGTGATGAGGCCAAAGAACTGCGATCCTTTTGCATTGTGGGAAGCAGGATGCCAGTGAAGCATCTTTTGTTTTTCTTTTAGGGCAGGATCCCACTGTGAAGCTAACCGGTTATACTGTAGGGCTCATATGTGCTCTCCTCATCTGGAAGCCAGATTGGTCTGTGGGGTAAAAGCTGGAGAGGAGCATAGCTGTGCAGAACAGATGTTCTTTGCCATTCTTTGTCTCCATATTTCTCTTCCCTTCCAGCCCACCATCGCCAGTTCCAAACCTCTGCTTCTCAGCTGTTGATAAGGGATTTGGTGATAGGGGGATTATAGCCTAGCAATCAGGGTGATTTTAAAAAGTGGGATTTATTGGACAGTAGCAGCTGAATACAGAAATACATCTCAGTGATTGTGTGAGTGGAGATAAAACTCAGTTCAAAGAGGGATTTTAATTTCTTTTTTCTGGAAGCTGGATGTTGACGAAGAAATAATCTGCACTTTCTCCTACAGAAGGGGTCAATCCTGTGACTCCATTTATCTGTGGCCTGAAGATAAGTCAGTTGCACAGAGAACCTTATCACTCTGGCATTTTTATTTTCCAGGTTGTTGGCTCTCAAGCTAGAATCTTATATTCTGATCAGAGGGGTCGTGTGTCTATAGCTGTGGCTATTAATCGAGCGATTTCTGAAGGAAGGATTAAGGTTTGTCTTTTTTGTCTTGATATGGTCCGGTAATTGTGTTTAATATCTCAGACTGGGATGGCAGGTGGGAAAGGAGAAAGCTTCAATCAGTGAAGCTTCAGCTTCAACCACTGAAGAACAGAAGTTACTGCCGTTTACATGGGACCAGGATTCTGTTAGCATGTATTAGAGCTCGGTCATCATCTCTGCCTGTCACCAGTATTGTGCTACATAATAGAAGAAAGGCACGTTTAGAAAATCTCTGAAGTATGCTACCTTTTATTTCATATTGGGAATCTGCCTTATTTTCTATTTGGGCATCTACAAGCACAAAATATCATGCTGTGATTTGCTGAAAACACAAGGCAGGGACTGTAACTCCTTAGCAGTGCCCCAAACATTAAAAGTAACAAGAGACCGTGCCACTGCCCAGTGCTTCTTACCCTCTGTCCCTCACTTTCAGCCATATTATGGCTACAGCCCGCTCTGCAGTCAATTTTCATTTGCATTGCATATGTGAATGAAGAAAATCATTAGGCTTGACTGCCACTTTAGTGCATAATCAGTAATATCTTACTCATCTGAGTAAAATCCCACTGACCATATGTGGTGGTGGTAAAAGTACATACTATGGGCAAGATTGTATAGGGATTTTCAAAGTTCTTCATGAGTATTGTAGGTAGATGTACAATGTGACATCCTGGGGGACCAAAATCCTGAAGGCACCACTCAGTAATTATAACCATTACTTGCTGTGTGTACCACAGCATCAGACCAAGGCATATTCACTCATTCATCTCCATCTCTTTTATAGCTGAATTACAATTACCCTTTTTAAAGGGGCAAACTCAAGTAAAACTTAGAAAATGTTTGTTAAAATATTTCAAATGCTGTTGACCTTCTCAGGATTCAAAATGAACGTCGCTGGAAGCTAGTCTTAAAAAAAAAAACAACTGACCAGACAGAGCACTCCCTTGGAGCTATGACTGATAAGGTCAGACTCCCAGGCCTTTCAGATTTTGTTGCATCCTTTTTTCGTTTCTGCAAATCTCCATTCCCCCTCTCAATTTTCTAATTCACTGCCAACATAAAACAGAGCCAGCTAATTCCAGACCACACCATGCCAAGAGTGAATTATTCTTATGTAAACCCCATGCATGGCAAATGATAATGAAGACCTGCAAGTTGATCTAGATTCATACTGTCAATTAAATTCCAGATCAAGAATGGACTTTTTTGAGCTATATGAAATCACTGATTTTCATTGCTAACCTATTTTTAGTCTTGAAGTCTTCCAAAAAAATGAAAAAGTGTTTTCTGTTAGTTTTCATTTTCAACAGCAAACAAGAACGATTTTTGAATGAAGATTTTTGCATACTGAAATGTCTTCAAAATTTCAGCAAAGAAATGCTCAGATGAAATAACCACGCTGCTTCCCCTCTTCTTCCTGCCCTCCTTTGAAGATGCCATTGGCATAAAACCAAGCTCTTGTTCTTAGTTATGAAAGGACGGTGGCTTTCACAAACAGTATGTGAACAACTGTTTTACAATAAATAATAGCAGGCAGAGAAGGTGTTTCTGGGGGTTTAGGAGAGGGGACAAAGCTGAGGTTTGAAATGACTTAAGACAGAAGTGAATTCAGCAAATGATGATCCTCAGTAGCATTGTCAGTCCATGAAGGATTCAGTTTTCTCGTCTGTGGCTTTTTGCAGGCTCCAGTAGTCCTCAGCCGAGATCACCATGATGTGAGTGGGACCGACAGTCCTTACAGAGAAACGTCAAACATTTATGATGGATCAGCCTTTTGTGCAGGTCAGCAGAGCAGCTGAGGCTTGTCTGTCCGGGCAAACAAGAAAATTGCTTTAAAAGAGAAATTGGTTTTTTTTATGCAACATTTAAAAAAAGTTTTTGTTTAACCCTTTAATCCCAATTAATCAGATTTCCTGAGCAGCTTTGTGGGATTTAATAGTGATACAGACATCAATGTGGAGCTAGTTAAATAGGAGAGGTCCAGAACAATGATGAAAATTTAATGAAGATGCATCAGATTTACCTGAGTGTAAATGGAGAGCAGACTATCTCAGAGGACTGTATCTTCTGTTTAATTTTAATTTTGCACCTCACTGTTTCAAAGAGGTGATCTGAGCAGAATTACAGCTGTATTTCCTTGGGATTCACAAGATCAAAATCAGGTCTAGAATAGTATTTTGCTTAAAGCAAAAATATTCACAGCTGCGTTCATTTCATTGCCTGAGGACTCAAGAAAACAGTCTGGACTTTCTGAAGGGAACTTTTCTGGTCATAGGGGAACATACTTTGAAAGTAAAAGCATAAGAATGGAAGTCAGGCGTTCTGGATTAGATTCCAAGCCTTGTTGCTCACTTACAGTGTGACTGTGGGCAAATCATGTAGGTTTGCTATACAAAAGGAGTCTTTAATTCTGCACACCTGACCTGAGCTAACTAGACTCTGCTTTTAAGTTTGTGAAATGGTGCTTTAGAAAAATAAACCCAAGAAATATCAGATTAGAGACTTGAAAAAAATGAGTGAAACACTAAGCAATTTTTAACCTAAATCTTCCTCAATTTTCCATCCATAAAGTGGAAATTATGATAAAAGCTTTAGCCCAGTAGTGTTTCTGCATGTCATGAACTGACAATCACAAAGCGGCTTGAGATTGGAAGATACAAGCTGCTATAGAAGGAGAAATTATGACAGAGGTAGCTGAGCATATTGAATTACTTCCATTATGGGAATTCATAATAGAACCAAATTATGATTCAATTTTAAGGAGAAAAGTTCCCTGCTATCTTAACTGGATTTCCTGATGAAATGAGGCTTTTAGCTGTGTCTGTCAGTCCCACTTCAACAACATTTTGACTATGTTGGCTAGTTCTAATAGGTCAGATGGATAGATGCCTTGAATAATGTTTGGTTCTGAGAAAATGGTGCAGCTGCATAGAGAACAGCAATCCAAAGTAATGTCTCCACCAAAGGGCTTAACAACATAAGTAAACCTCAGGCAATGCCCTTAGAAGATGGCAATAGAAACAAGGCTTGCAAAACCCCATTGCTTGTCGTGCTATGTGTTTTTCTTTGCATTTTGTGATTTACATGAACCATTTGCCTTCTCCAAGGGCTTATCTAAAGCCTGTTGACCACTGATTTCACTGGTCTTTGAAACCTCTGGATGAGCCTCTGGAAGTAATAAAAGAACATCTTAGGTCTTCCTCTCTCCCTTCTTTCCTGTTGTTTTAACACCACATTTGAGCTGGTTCAGTTGAAATTGGCTTGTCTCTAGCGCACAGGAATTTTCCAGACTGTTTGCCTGTCTTATTTTGTTTTGCAGTAAGTACCTCAGCCTGATCCTTGGCAAACATGGGTCATCGCTGCTCGGCAAAGTGTAGTTCAGCACAGACATTTGCACAGTTAAGGACCTTTATCAAAGCCAAGGAGTAGCATGTTATTACATCATTAGTCCACTTGCCATGCTCCTTGTCCAACCTCCACTCTTATCACACTAGTGGCTGAGGAAGAAATCTGTATGTTTTTAGAGTATGGGGATTTCGATCTCTCCCATTCCCCCTTGACAGCACTGTAATTATGATAATTGGGTTATTAAAGTGACATAATGCCAGATAAAAGATGCTGTAATGGGGCTTTTGACAAGGTTTAACATAGATTAGTGCTCAAGTAAACTCATTTTTCCATCAGGCATGTAACAACTGTGGGTCTGCAAATGTGGCTGGTGGGGATATTGCTGTTTGCCTCTTATTTTTTTGCTGTTAAAAGCACAGCAAATGATCTATTAAATCTGTCCTGAATTAAATCTGAATAAATGTTTTGAGCAAATTTTACCCTGTTATCCTCTGTGTGTACCTCTTTCCACCTCTCTGGGTATATCCTTTAGCACAAATTGTAGTGAACATATAAAATTCTAGTGAACATTTCAGTGGAAATCATACATTTGACATTAGTCAAATGACATTTGTCTGCTAAATCATTTTTCTTCATTTTTTTAAAGCAAAAGAAACCCCCTGTATCATTTCAGCAGTTCATGTTAAGGGTAAAATTCCCCCATGTCCAGAGAATCGGGGCCGATATAATTTTCACGCTGTGTTCCCAAAATGCAACTCCTTAGCTTTAGACTGGCTTTCTGCACAGGGCTGAATTAACTCTGCAGTCTGATTTGAGAATACTTTGGGCTTCTGAGAACTGCAAGGTGTGTAGTTTTCTAGGTGTCCCCCCCATTTTGAAACCCTCCACATGGATGTGTCCAACCTGTTCTTCCATGACTGAGGCATCCCCAAAGGAGAGTATTGTATTTCTCTGCACCCTGAGGAGGTATCTCCCAGCTGAGGAGTGGTAGGTTCTTCAACTGCTTGAATTGGATCACAAATGAAGAAAGCATCAGGGTCCTCACAAACCACAGTATGAAATTGGCATTTGCTTCTTCCAGTGTAGGGGCAAAGAGTGGGAGGAAAATCTCTCTTGCCTGTTCCTCCCAAGAATGAGATGTTCAGTGTATATCTGTGAGAGAAGCTGTGAGTAAACCCTGTCTCCAACACTGCCTTCACACAGCCAAAATCAAGGTGTTAGTGGAAGGAGCGAGCAGCACAACAAAAAAATGAATGCAGCATGTCAGAGCCATAACACCTTTCTTCTCCTCCTAGACATGGCGGTACAAAATTTTGTAGGAGATGCATTCAGAGGAGCGACCTGGGTCGCATTACACAACGGTGGTGGAGTTGGCTGGTAAGAACTTATTTATCTTTCTAAAGCTGGATTTTGAATCCCATTACTACTTCTGTATATGCGTGTGGGGAGGAGAGACAGGAAGGTAATTGCAGAAAAGATGTGTGTATTACTAGAGTAGTACAACGTCATGATCATGGGAAGGACGGGTTTGGAGACAAGGATGTATAATAACGTGAAGTGTGGTGTTGTATGAGGCTTTTCTAATTAATGCCCATATGTCTAGAAAAAGTGTTTTGGACATTGGCCACAGCGCAGTTTGGAGAACTTAATTTGCCAAATAAGTACAGTCTGCTGTGGTCTTTTTGAACAGATCCTACTTCCAAAGTTGTCTTCACACATGCACAGCCAGAGTGTCAGTGGATGGATTATGTTTAGGTTTCCCCTTAAGCTGTATTTAAATCTGTGACCTTAGGACCCCAATATAAATGCCCATGTGCTAAAGTGCAACGAGGGGTTATTGATACAAAACAGCTCAGGTGCCAGCAAACCCCCCAGTCTTCTTTCTCCCCTTGCTCGTGCCTGGCAGGATAAAAGACCACAGCCAAGTAAGGACTTGATTAAACACCTCCTTCTTCACATAAGATGCAGAACTAAGAGAAATGTCTAAACTGAGATGCAGAATGAGAGAAATATTATGTACGGAGAGGGAAATTAATCTCCTTCATGTGCCACTAAAAGGTTACTCTGGTTTGGCAGAGGTTTAGGGAAAAGGAGAGCCTGGCCACACTGCTTTAGTGCTGGTTTGTTCTTTCCAGCATAGTCCAGCAAAGCCTCTCCCATTTACAGCCATGTCTTCATTTTGTGGTGTCGTCAGTCAAAAGGGGGGCAACCCTCTATTAAATGCTGTAGTGAACCCTCCCACTTCCCTGTTCCATCCAGCTCTGGAATATGCCAACAACAGCAAGCCAAAGAACTTGTAGCAGATGTTATCCTCAGAGACATTTGATGATAATTTATTATTACTCATCTGGATGATCTGGATCTAGAAAATACCCTTTCAAGTCAGATGGAGAATTCCCTCTCCTGTTCTCTAACTCCTTTGATTTCAGAGAAGTAACTACTGAATAGAAGGTACATGAGAGCAAAATTGAACAGTGGGATAAAAGCGCTTAGACACATGGAGTGAAAATCTGGCGTTACTGATTTCAGCGGTAACACCCACAGTAGCCAGGATTTCATTCACAATATCCATAATTCTGAATGGAATATATATGCCAGAATATCTGCTTACTCTGGTCATCTCAGTCTCAGGCTCCAGAGATAGCAGCAGACTAGATCTGTCTGAATGGCCTTAGCTGAGTTTAACCTTTTAAAATACCTGCTTGTGAAATACAAGCAAAGAAAATAACTTTCCACTACATGATGTGCAAAATATTTGGAATATTTTTGTGATAATTGATAATTATAATTATTAGAATTGCTAAAATAATTGCTTATGCCATGAATGTTCTGTGGATTGATGATGCTTAATTCAAAGGATACAAATAATCATATTCCCTATCTCTCTTTGGCCTCTGTAAAGCCAACCCCTCCTGCATGTTTCTAGCCCTCTGAGCAATTCAAAGAGAGATTTGCTGAATGGTGAGACTGCCCTTACTTCTGGAAAACTGGCACTGGCCACACTGCGATTTCAGTTGTATTGTTTTAGTTGTTTCTTAAGTGGAGTTACATCATTAGAAAGAATGCTCTTCCCCAAGGCAGAGCAAAGGTGCTGTCATTTATGTAATGCATCAGAAAATTAGTGTGTGGCTGTTCACTGAAATCAAAATATCGATGGAAAAACAGGGTTTGATTATCCTTTTTGACATTTCCTAGTGGCTTGTCATTGTGGAACAGTATCTGCTCACCTTGTTCTTGGGAGCAGTCATAGCCCTCTGTGATTAAATTACTGTGCTTCAGTGAAGAATGCAGAGCCTGAAAATTAGGCCTGTCTCTGCATGAGCCTTAATAAGCCACCATGCTGAGACTCAGATGTGGTAACAATGTCGTGTTGTTAGATGCCGTGGTCTGGAGAGCCCCCGAAAGCCGCGGCACGACAGGTGGTTCTGCTCGGCTTAACTAATCATGGCACCACCCTGGCTAGTTAAAGCGCTGCACCCCTTTGCCTTCTGAGGAGAAAGAGAGGAATAATTTAAAGGTGGTAAAAGCAGCAAAACCAACCCCCAACCATAACAAATTACTTTCTTTGCCTGGAAGAGACAGATGCCTTTAGGTTTTAGGACCCTGTTTTTCTTTTTCTCTAGAGAGCTAAAAATTCAGCTGACTTTGCCATAAAGAAATCTCCATGTGCCTGATAAAATCTTCTTGTCATCAGCTGATTTGGAAATGTGAAAGTACATGCGGAAGCTTATATATATTTATAAACAAATATGCACGTGATTAGAGAGAAATCAAGTTGTCATTGGGAAGTTTCTGTTCAGGAAGTTCAGAAATGGCAATTGCCTTGTGTTCAGCTACCAGTCCTCCCTGCAGAGGCTGGGCTTGCCTGGAACTGCTGACAGATCTGCCATGTCTTCCCTACGAGACTAGAGAAGTGTCTTCGATCTGCTTTGATTTTTCTGTGCTATAGCCTTGTGGGACAAACAGAAAAAGCAGGATTAATATTTATTTAGCTGGAATCTGCATCACATGTACTGTTTGAGAGACTTAAGATTAACATAGTAATTACAGCAAATGAATGTTATTCATCTCTTGCTGCCTGTTTATTTGCAGGAGAATGTATATTAGCACGGAGCCTGAGTAGCCTGTAGTAACAAAAAGGCAGAAGCAATTTAAGAACCTAACTGCACTGTTGACAGTGTGACTTCTTGATTGTGAGAGAGGCCTTGTTTTCTTTGATCACCTTAGAAGGAGACATCTGGAAATTATAGGAGGTAGCTTAGGTCAAAATGCCACATGTTTCTTTAATTACCTGAAAATGTGACCCAATGCTAATGAAGGCAGAGAGCTCCCCTTTAAAAGTGAGAGGTTTTGCTAGAAAATCCATCCTAACAAACATTGGCATTTAATTTATGAGTGATTTTTAGACAGTAGGACAGATTCTGATGAGTGATTCTGATTTACACTGGAGTAACTCCATGGAAATCAATGGAGACGCTCTAAATTTATGGAGTGCAAGTGAGATCAGACGCTCACTGTTCGTGCCTAAGCTTCAAAGGATGCTCTTTGGGATGCTGTGCACAGAGGGGATCTTTGCCACTGAAAGAACATCATCTTCCTGTACGGAATATCTTTATAAAGCATTGCTCCAAAGGTCTGATTTTCTTATTGTCTGATATTGCCAATAGGCTGTCTTGACATGTGCTCATACTGTGATCCCAATTACATTGCAATGGAATCATTGACGTTCATAAGTGTACTCTAGCTTTGTATTTTGACCGTAAAGAATAGTGCTAATTTGGTCTCTGTACACAGAAGCAGCAGCGTATGGTGAGGTAACTGGCCCTGGTCTTGATATAATTACATTTGTAATATTGTCATCCAGTCTGGTCCCCTCTTCTGGAGAAGACAGTAACAACATGAGCTATTAGAAAAGTGGAATTTGCAAGAAATGCAGATGTTTGGACATTTGTTTTCATCCTAAAATGAGACTAAGAGCAGAACTAATGAAAGATTTCACACAGTTAAAAGATCCTGGGAATTAAATTCCAGGCTGGAAAGTGTTGACAGTGTCAATCAAAAAGAAACATTTTATTTTGAAGAATCAGAGCTTACAATATTCAAACATCTCAATTGAAAACATGACTTTGTTTCAAATTTTTCTGTTAAAGATAAGAAACTGATTCATTCAATGACATTCTGCTGTGAGAACTGTCAGTTTCAAGAAAACTGTGCCTTTCAACAGAAAATGTATTTGTAATACTGATATATCTAATAATGGTAAAGTGGAGGGAGTTCACAGAATGGTACCGCGATGGTGAGATCTAGGGCTCTAAGTTCCTTGCTCAGCTATGTGATAGGGTCCTACTTAGCACTCAGGTAGTATATATAACTAGCAAAAGGGTATTAACATCACATAAGTACCAACGTTACGTTGAAAATGAGAAAATGTGAGTTCTAGTTTCAGGAAGAAGATCTCAGGTCTGTGAGGCTCCAATGTAGCCTCATTTCCCAATTTCCTGAGAAGCTCAAGTTTCTGCTGGAAAATACACAGTAAGAAATTATTCCTTCCTGGACTGGAAGACACCTAGCTCCTGTCTGATTCATGGATTTGTCTGATGTTACTCTATGTAAATTTTGTAAACTTATTCATTATATTAACTATAAAATACAGAGGACAAAATCCTGCCTCCAGGAATCTCCGTTAATAGTCTCTCATACCATGTGTTGTTGTACGATATGCCCCGTCTCTCAGGTATTGCTGATGCTGAGTTATAATGCCAGAACTCTCATAGATTTGCAGCAACAGATAACTATCCAACTGCATTTACCACTATTCACCATATGCAACGAAGCAAGAATTTGAGCAGGCCAGAGCCTGAAGTCAGAGAAGATGTTTTGCTCTATGTGTTTTCCATGTCCTTTTAAAACCAGACTGGTATGTCTGCCAAGTATAAACTGTTAGTTTTAACATATTTCTGTTCTTCTTCTGCCAATAAATCTGCTTCCTGAAAAGTTGGCACTGATGTCTTTAAACATCTCTGTATCTCGTACAAAATGAATGATTGTTTTTGAAATGATCAAGGCAGATATGCATTAAGTGGTGGGTTAACACTTTTAAATAAAATACTTATGCTCTCTCATTTGTCCCGAGAGAATATAAATAGATCCATCTGTCTGCTTCAATAAGTACACAGTCCTCCTCATGATCCTATCTTTATGGCAGGCTCTAGTGTAGCAAACATGAACAGCATAACCTTTAAAAATACCCTGAGATAGGTAACTCTCCAGCCCATCAGAAGTGCTAGCTTTCTTTACTTGTTTCTAGAGCCAGTACAGCGTGCAGTCCTCAGGAGATGCAGCGCAAGCTTAATTTTTGACACTCCTGCTTGGAGCAGATACTGACTGCTAACTGGGCATTACAAGAAAGGTGGAATAGGTTTGCTGCAGATCAGGAAACTAGGCCTTTGCCCTGCTAAATTCCTTTTTTTTTTTTTTTTTTGTAAGTATAAAAGGTTACTGATAGTGTCTCTTATTCAGCACCATTTCTATATTCTCATCCTTCTTCTTGCAGTGCAACTGAACAAATTAACTCCTGTGAATTTTGTGGGATTAGTTTGAATTATTTTGATTTAATTCTCTTACATTTATATTTTTCAGGGGTGAAGTGATCAATGGGGGATTTGGCCTGGTTTTGGATGGGTCCACAGAGGCTGAAGAACGGGCTAAGATGATGCTCAGCTGGGATGTTTCCAATGGAGTAAGCAAAACTCATTATATATGTTCACTTTAATATCTTCCTGCCTCTGGGACTATGTTTATTTAGGTAGTCAGGTTCCAATGCTCCTATTGTTTTTAAATGAATGGAAGTATGAGCACTCAGGCAGGAGTTTTTGGGATCTGTCTTTTTGTATCCCAGGAATAGTCCTAATGGGCCAAGTGACTCATTCTATTCACTGCTTCTAATACGGGTGGTTATGAGCCTGATTCCAGTAGAGCCAATGAGTTGTTTTGTTTGGTTAGTTTTTTTCTCCAACCAACTTCAAAGGACTTTAAGTCAATAAAAGAGGCTGAATAATTCTTGGGTAAGGAATTTACTGTAAAGTGTCAGGACCACCCCCTCTGACGTTACAACATATTGGAGCCCAACAGTTTCCACATATCTCGGTATGTGTTTTGTTATTTTTTAAGCAGAAAGGGAAGCATGCTTATGATAATTTTGTTAGACACGTTGGCATTGTTGTTTGCCTACATAATACAATTGACAACTATATGAACTTTAGTCTTGTCTATTCCTAACTTCTAGACCTACGTATCTTGAAAAGGTTGCCATTTAAGTGCCAGCTCATCCAGCCCTTGCTACGATTAGAGTTTTTGCATTCCATTAATGTCCAGATAGATCCTGTTTGGGTTTAAGACTAGGATCCTATCTCTGAACTTGCAGAGAGGTTTTGATTCAGTACTTGCAGGGAACCTAATCAGCAGGACATAGTGATGCATAGTCCAATTAAAGGACAAAACCCGTTGCATTTCAGTCATGAAACCTCACAAGGACCTGATATATTGAGGGAGCTCCTTGCCAACGCTGACATGAACTGTTCTATTTTACTTCTCAAGAGAATTGCAGAATTCCTTCTTGCCTTAGACCTAAACATTTTTTTTTCTCCCCATAAGACCTGGCATGACTGGGGGTAGAAGAGGAGGAGGAACAATTTGCATGTATTGCCTGTCCCAGATCTGAAATAACACATTAGTAAACTATTAAGGAAGAAGGAGGAGGAGGAGGAGAATTTTATTAATTTGTAGATTAGAGTAATGAAGACAAACCCTTAACACACACTGTGTATCAGAGACAGCCTATTAAAAACCCAATAAATCTTTTGCTGCTCTGATTTATTGCAAGCAAAAGCCCCACTCCTCCACACACATGTTGAAAAAGGACAATCTGAGAATGCTACCCATATTATATACAAGACTGGAAAGAAACTGGAGTGTACCCTTGAAAATATACTGCCAGGAATAATCATAGGTGAGTGGCGGGGAAATTGAGTTGTTAACTTGAAAGGTCATTTCTATCTGTTATTGCTATGATCCTGGGAACTTATTAGGCTTACGTTAATCATATGCTTTAATATTTTGCTAAATTGGAACCTAAGTATTTTCTTTCTTGAACACTTTTGAGTCTCAATATTTCAGACACTGATTTGCAATTCATAATAGAGATTTGTAGGGCATTGAATAGAGGGAAGGACTTACTTCCTTTGTGCCAAATCTTGACCTTTTTTCGTCTGGGGAGTCTTGCTTGTACACAGCTCAAAACGCAGAGCTTTGCTGTTGGAAGAGGCGTTTACCAGTTCCCTGGCTGTCCACAGAGTTTCATCCTTATGTGCTGGCAGAGAATTTGGCTCCTTGATTTCATAGTTTGAAAATGCATTGAGTGACATTTTCCTTTTTAAATATTTATCCCACTACAAAAGCATCAATTGCTTAAATGACACTGTTATCTAATGCAAGTGCTAGTTTTACAGAGCTGGGATAGAGTGCACAACTATTTTTAGTGAGAGAATTTTGTAAAGTTTATAAGGTACCTGGCTCTACCAATGTTATCTGTCCAATGTTATGTTTCTGCTTGAAAATGTACCAAGTCTATCCAAATACTACTCATAAAAATTAAGTAGGTATTACAAAAATGACTTCCAAAATCAGTAAGGAAACTACAAACTGGCAGAGGGTTGAGAGATTTGTTGTCATGAAATTGGGTGCCAGTGTTTGCGTAAATATTGTGTAAGATGGATGTGGCAAGAGAAATGTACGATTTTTACACCCATTGATTTTCTGGTCTGACAGGTCGCCAGACGCTGCTGGTCGGGTAATGACTATGCTTATGAAAGGATCTGCCAAGCAATGAAAGAGAATGCCACATTAAAGGTGACTCTCCCTCACAAGGTGGTGGATGAGAACATCTTGGAGCAAGCCCTGAAACATTAGTGGTATTCCTGGTGCAATGTTGTCCTTGCAGATACATTTGAAGTTGCTTCCTTGATATCCTGTTTTGCTCTCTGGCCAAATGATAAAGGGCTTGCAAATGTCTCTTCCATGTGAGTTCTCTTTTTTCCCTTTAACTTGTTAATGGGGCAAACCTGTATCTGGCTGTGACAGGTCCACTGATGTCAGGAACAGTCTTTTCACTAATGTATTTGGAACAATGTTTGCAATAAGAAACTATTCATCGTAAGGAAAGGAACTGGAATTTTGTCCCTGAAAATTAAATGAAAAAAAAAAATCCACTTATTCCGGATAATTCGTAAATTAAGGAGACTCTTAGGTCTGGTAGATCAAATGTAGAATGGAAGTTGGAACTCTTCATTCTAATTCAGTGTCTGCTGCTATCAGCAAAGAGCCATGAAATCCAGTAGCCAAACATTCTTTATTGGTGGAGGATGTATTGATATCACGTGTACTAGGCTCAAGCTTTTCTGTATTGCCATAAAAGCGTTTGGTGATCGCAATAGAAAGCGACAGATAAACTGTAACTGGTTAAGCACAGCTAGCCTGCCTGTGTTTTTCCCTGAAATTTTCACCCAAGATTTTCACCACAAGCAGGAACAGAATGCAGTGCCAGGTAAGTGGGTGGAGAAGCCTGAAGGCAGTAAGTACTAGACCATTTCCAAACATCTTACAGCAAGGCCAGAAAAATATGGAACAACTCATGATAAAGTAGTGTAAGCCAAATTCTGCATCAGTCTGAGATGGTGCCATCCTACTGAATCTGATGATGTGTGCACTTTGCTGCCTCACAATGATGGGTTTGTTCTTCTGTAGAAGCCCATTGCACTTGAGCAGCTTCTAAATGGATGAAAACCTCCAGAAGATTTAGATCCCTAGTGCAGGCTGCTGCTTTTTAATGAAAAAACATGGGCTACTCACCCATTTGGATGTGAGTGGTGCAATTAGTAAAGCACTGTAACAAAATGATCATGTAGACTTTCCATCTGAAATAAAACACAACTGATGTGAAAAAACCAAAAGCACCAAAGAGAAGACAGTGTGGGCTTCCTTCACACAGAAGTGGATTATAAAGTAAAATAGAGATAGAAAGGTCTTTTTGGTCTCCCTTCTTCTTCCTAGGAAGGGTTAGGAAGGCACACAACCCACTGTGCCTAGATGCAACTGAAAGAAACCTCGTATTTTGCACCTGAACCTACTATTATATTTGTGTTAACAGTAACTTATGGAAGTATTTTGTTCTAATCAGCTGTGACGCAGAATCAAAAGTTGAGGCTTACATTGAACCCCCTATACACATACATATTGTCAGATACATACATATAGATTTACAGAAACATTTTACATACACATCTATATGTGCGTGTGTACAAAAATAATTCTTAGCTATGATGTCTCATGTTAAGCATGGCCCTTGCATATAGGCCTCATTCAGACTTGAACACAGAGCGTCAGCAATCCCTTCCCCCAGTGCGCACGTGGTACTTACTGGACTTGATCTGCTCTGTCACTCAGTCTCCTTGGCACTGTATCTGTTACCCCTTGGAAGGGGAAGGGATTACACAGGTAAACCTGCGCTGGCTGCTGCAGATGAGGTGTGATGAGCTGCAGTCCTCAGGACTGTGGGGTCAACTGTGATACTTGCCAGGTGAGCACACTCTGCAACTCTGTATTGCCTCTGGTGCCCAGTAAAGGAAACCATTTCTTTTGCATCACAAATCAGTTCTTTACTCTGTTGACGTACTGTATATTTCTCCAGATGAATAGTGAGAGCCTGGCATCTGCTTGTAACTGAACCTTCTGTGAAGTGCAATCTGCAGTTGATCGGAATTGCTTTATATTATGGAAAAAACCGCCCACATTGCCAAGTTATATGATTGAGATGTTAGTAGTTGTCAGCCAGATTTGACAGCCTTTGCTTTGACATATGTTATGCATTATCTATTATTAATAACCACACTGGGCTGGGTCCAAAGTTAGTATCTTGGTAGTGTACAAAACCACTCTAGTCTTCACAGCCCAAAAGCACTAGGGTACTGTTTTGTCATGAGGAACAACCAGAAAATACACTGGCTTTTCTGTACTAAGGAACGTAGAGCTGCTCCATAGATTCATCTTAATTCTGAATTGAAAATCCATCAAAGACGAAATATTGAAGAAGAAATATTTATTATGAACTCTTAATCTTTGTATTTTTTAGTACTGGGGTACTTGCCAGCGTGCTCCCCTTCACATACCAGACAAAAAAGGAACCTTGTTTTCATCCTCATAGCTTTACTGACCAGGGGACATAACCTTGCAAGTACACCCTTGCTGAATGCCACTCAAGTCCCTGGGAGTTTATAACCCTTTTTTTTTTGTAGGGAGACATAGAGCTGGAAGGTATGAGCACAATTCAAGAGCTACTGGTTGAAGTTCAGATTATAAAGTCTTTGGCTGTTAACTAGGTAGCACGAGTAAGGCAAAACAGGTTACAGAAAAGCAGTGAACTGATGAGCAGTTAGTCATGTTTATGACTACTCACTGTTTTTTATTTTAATTATGAAGTATATATAGTTACGTGTATACATTTACATCTGCTTTGGTCTTTTAACTGCATATCTCATGCACTTAACAAATGTGAACTGAGGTTTACAATACCTTTGGGAGGGCATAGGGAAACAGTAACCTGTTCCTGCCTGGGATGAAATAGCAGGGGGTTTCCAGCATACAGAAACCATAAACAAGACCAGTGTGAAGATTCCCTTTCTGAGCTCGGCTGCTCATTTTATTTGTTCTCTATTTGTTTGCAGAGAAGCTGGGACTGTGAATGGGCTATTGTTCTGTGGAGATGCTGATGTCATTTTTAGGTAGCTGACCTCATTGCTGGACAAACCCAATACAGGGAGAGCAGTCTTCAAGCCATGCATCTCTAGGCATTGCATCAGATCCAGACAGTGGATATAGAGGTAGTGAATTTCTGTAGTGAAGTCTCAAGCTTGCCACAGGCTGAAGCATCCTTCCTATGAATCCTAGTACCTTAATGCTTTCCTCAAAACGCAGACTCTTGTCCTGAAAAGCTTGTGCCTGGCTGCAGATAGAAGCAAGAGCTTGGTGACAAAGGATAATTCATGCAGGACACTCATATGTCTGTAACTACAGTGGTGTTTAAAGGTATAAAGCTTGTCGACATGAGAGAGGTGTTAGCTCTCCTAGTTAGGGTCTTGTTGAGTCACTCCAGGCTGTGGCAAACATAAGAGATTTGTGGCTTGATGTTTTTTTTTCTTTTTTTCTTTTTTCTTTTCTCCTTCAGGTTTGACATCCTTCAAGCAGGGATGCACCTATGTGTTAAGCAATAAACTCCTAAGCAGACCTTTCTTTTCCTAGGAACATGAAGCAAGGTACTGCAAAGACCTCCATAGGGAGATCAGGATAGCTAGGGGCAGCTAACAACAGGAATGACCTACACGTGGTGACAGTCAGCAGTGGGGTAAGGGGGATTTCAGAGGAGGCTGAGCTCAAGCACCCAGGGACTTCAGACTCTGCACAAATGGCTGTGAAGGTGCACAGTGGAGCTCTGGGTGTACCTACAGCTCTGTGGCAAGAAGTACCAGCTTCCCTGGAGCTGAGTGTGCCTAGCCAGCAGTCTCCCATCCTTGCTGTTGGAGATTTGATACAAAATTGCTCAGCAGGAGACAATTTGCCCAATGGAAGGATGACAGCACCATCTGCTGGGACCGCTCGGTCCCGCAGCAGGAAGGGGCTCGTGTCATTTCCACGGCAAATGTAGGATTATTTTCCCTTTTCCTTAAGTATTGGAGAGTCAGAAGGCAGCTAAAAAGTGTTGCCCAAGAATGAAAAAACCTGTTTTATGCATTAGCTGAATTTGTAGGGGGTTTTTGCCTGGGTTCAACTGACTTCAGCATCAGCATTTGAGAGCCGCTTTTCTACCCTCAATCTTTCTTGTCAGTGTTTGTCCTTTTTCCCTCCTTTCTTCGCAGCGTGTTTCCTCTGCATAGCACCGCAGCACTCTTTATTGCCCTCCTTCACTCAGGTCCACTTCTGCTGAGAGTCTGACTGTCTCGGGTGGTGGTTGGGCACGGCCATGCTTGGAACAGATCTGCATCGCTCAAGGCTGGTTCATAATGCTGTTTCCATATTTCTACTGAAGATGCACAGGATATTGTGCTATTGCAACTCTCCAAATGTGGCTGCAAGCCCAAAATGGCTCTGACACAGCTTCTTCCTTGCTATTAGCAGGAACACATAGATACTGGAATAATCCCCAAACA